ATTCTAGTAATAAATCCTTGATTGAGATCCAAAATACTGAAGCAGCCTAGTTGCATTGTGAGCTCCCTGGAAGAAAACACCACCCATAGCCAAGAGTGATCAGCTCCTATTGTCTAGCCTAAAGAAAACCCTTGAATCATCAGCTTACCTATAAACAAATCTAGTGTTCTCCCTTCAACCATTGTCATTTCTCTACAAAAATCCCTACTCACCCTCCAGTCAGGGTTCTGATGCTTAGATCCAAACTATGCATCAGTTCCACTGGAACTCCATCTTCTCCTGACTGATCGTGCTGGGGGCTCTGCCTGTCTCCAGCACTCAGGACCCTCAGCGACCACCATCATCTGGGAACTCCGACCAGTTCAAGCCTCATGGAGTGGGTGAGATCCACCCTCTTTCTCTCTCTCTCTCTTTTACTTTCTACCTTAGGTATTAACCTTTAATCATGTATGTTAGGTTGGTTTAGCTCCTTGTGTTGTTATCACTATTATTCAATAAATAACTTCTATGGTTAAGTTGGTTGCTTCTCTCTCTCTCGCTGAACTTCACTCGTTTGTGTTTTTAGCTTCCCCCATTCACTCTACAGCAACGCTTCTTTTACCTAAGCTAAAGATCCCTGCAGCGCCCAAAATACTGCGGGGTTTGCTCATCGAGTAGGTTACTGCCAGTACAATTGTGTTGGGGGAGTGGGGATAGGGACGTGCTGAATCTGGGACGCATAAGGGTAACAGCTTGAAAGTGCTGCTTGACCCAGTCCATGGAGCCATGGGGCACATAAGAAGAGGTAGCTTGAAAGTGCTGCTTCCTCCAGCTCAGTAGGTCCAAGGACAAATAAAGGGTCAGGTTCACAGTGCTGATTGACCCGGTCTGCTCAGACTTGCTCTGTTAGTGTGTGTGTTCATCCGGTTCTGGGGCTGGAGGAACCCAGCCCGGGGGAGCCTAGGTCCTGCAGGGTAGCTTCATTGGGAGGGGACTTGCAGAAGGGAGAAGTAGAGCTCCATATGAAAACACACGTGACACAAGCAATACATTGATAGGATCACAGAACCCCCACTCCCCTCCAAGAGTAACCCGAATAAGTGAGCATACCCCAAGGTAACGGGCAAACTGGTAACACCTCCTCTCCCAGTCTATTGATCTCTCCTAATGCTGCCCATTACTGTGCTATCTGTAACATACTGATCCTCGCAACACTTCTAGGAGGCTGGTCCATATTGGGAACTGAGGCAGGGACACACTGTGATCATGTATGTTTCTATCTTAGGTAATTTTATGGCTCCCATCACCGCAGTAGCCAAGCCTCACCAGTGCAGGGGCTGGAGCAGAGATCGTGGTGCCAATTTGAGGTCATTTCACCTGGAGATCCCTGACATAGAGCCCAGTGCCTCACCCAAAATGACCCATCTCCAGCGCTGGAATGGAAGATCTCGGAGCCTATTTAAACCCCGTGTGCTGTAGTTGGGTTGACATAACCCGCACTGCAGATGCAGCTGGGTCGATGGAGGAATTCTTCCAGCTACTGCCATTCATGGGGGTGGATTTACTAGAGCAAGGGGGAAACCCCTTGTGCCCTTTTGTCTCTGTAGTAAGTGTCTACACTATCCAGCACACCTGCAGCTGGAGCACTTGCTGCGTAGACACACACACAGAGTGAGAGACGGTCCCTGCCCAGAAGCACTTCTAGCAGACTAGGGAGAAAGAACAGTCTAGTTCGGTTCCTTCTTCATCACTTACTGCCAGGGTGGCCCTGGGCCAGTCACTTAATCTCTCTGTACCTCAGCAGCCCCTCTGAGCCTTGCGGATGGAGCCATGGCACTGCCCTGCTTGCAGGGGTCCTGTGAGAGTTTTTAGTTGTTGGTTTTTTGACAAACCGTTTTCGGTCCCAAAACTCCAGTTTTGTCACAATCGAAATGTTTGGCAGCAGCATGTAGATTTGGGTGACATTTTTATCATGTCGGTTCCTGTGGCCAACTCAGTACTGCGCCATATTTCATAAAAGGTGACCAGCAAACCAAACTACACCTCCGGGATGAAAATGAAACAATAGGAGGGGTCTGAACTGAAGCTTTCTCAGCATTGTTGCTCCAGGGGACACGTTGAAATCTCAGCTTTTTTGTTCCCTTTTGAATTTTTTTTTATTTCAAAATTGCCAATATTCACCCAGCTCTAGTTGGGAAGTGTTCCTATTCTAAAGTCACGGGGCGCGAGACACGCAGGTGGGAAACTGAGGCACTGACTGACGGGCAGGGAATTCACAGCTGAGGCAGGAACTGACTGTGGCTCGCCAGAGCCCCAGTCCAGAGCTTCACCCACAAGCCCCCCCTTCCTATCCAGTCCTGCGCCTGAAATCTCCATCTGACCCGGAGCCGCTTTCAGAAGCACGGGCGCTGCCTCGCCTGGACCCAGCCCGGGGGTGGTTTCTGTGTCCGAGCTGGGGGAGCTTGTCAGCATAACTCCAAACCCAGGAGAGAAGCCCTCACCCCGTGTCTGGCTCATCTGCGGGCACTGGTCTCACTTCCCGCTTTGAGATCATTTGCAGCTGCACTTTTCAAAGTCCAGCCCTGCCATTCTCAGGCTGGGTCTAGCTAGTTTAATAGGGTGATTAGCTTGTGCTGTCACTAATTAGTGCTACATCCCTTCAGCCTAAAACAGCAGCAGAGCCTCCTTGAAAGACTAAAAACTCCTCCTGGTTCTCCCCTCGGAATCCCAACGCGGTGTTCAAAATAATGACCAGAGCTTGATCACTGGCTGGGTTTTCTTAATGTTTCTTCTGCAGCAAAGGCAGACTTTGAAATGCACAACCTAGAAATGCTCCTGGCTGAAATGCTGGTTAAACAGCCGCTGCCCAGCAACTGGTGCAACCCAAATCCTGACATTAACGCTCGGATAATCCGTTGGCTCATTCGCCTCTTCCCCTGGATTCCGGTCTCACTCCACTAGTTGCCTGCCTGGGTACGGTGGCAGAAACATCATGACAAAGAAAACAAACTCAAGTCCCTTTTATTGTAATTAGCCACTGGAACAATGTACCCGGGGTTCTGGTGGGTTCTCCCTCGCTGCCCATTGTTAAATCCAGATGGGATGTTTTTCTAAAAGCTCTCTTAGGAACGATTTGGGGACAAGTCTCTAGGCTGGTCTAGAGGAGGGCAGACGAGATTATCTCTCTATGATCCCTTCTGGCCTTGGGATCTGCATTATTCTGATTTCTCCGCTCTGGGGGGTCGGACACACGGAGCGGGTCTGATCTCTGGGGAAAGCAGGAATTACACTGGTGCCCAGCGGGCAGGCGGAGCTGGGGCTGGGACTAAAAGCGATCAGGTGGATTCCCATCACAGCTCGCTCTGCCTTCCCGGCACCTGTGGAATGCAACAGGCACTGAGCTCCAGGTCCCCTTTCAACACCAAGGGGAGAGGAGTGGGGTGGGAGGACCCCAGCCTCTCCACATACAGCTGTCGATCAGAGTGATCACATCTGTCAATCAAGTTTCACATCTCTAGCGAAGGGGTGATGGCAATGCTGCAGGGGGATACCGGAGAGGGATTTCTGTGAGTCCAATGGATGTGAAATCAGCAGTGCACTAACGCTGACGGCTCCCACCCCCGAAGGGCCCCTGGTATCCGCAGGAGAGAGCGGGAAAGAGCGGGTGGCCGGGGCCCCTTTGGAGCCTGGGCCACGCCATGGTAAACCCGGTACTGTGGAGCAGGCATGGCCACCTGGAAAGATGCTGTGAGACCACTGCCCGCATCTCCGAGCAAACAGGATGGGGGCTTTCAATTTTGCAATGCGTTGGGGTGAATTTTTTAGAGCGCTGCCGCAACGGCGCAGTTTCTGCGCACTAAGTGGTTTGGCAGTGTGTACACCTGGGGAGTTGCAGCGCTCAAAGATGCTTTACAGCACAGAAACTTGCCAGTGAGGAGAATCCCGATACTGCTAATACAAAAACTCAAGCTGCAGAATTGTGCTTCTCTTGTGCACCGCTTGGGGGCAGCACTTCCACAAACAATCCAGCACAAGGCACAAGAATGGGATCTACAGATAGTGAAAAAATATCTGTCAGCAGGTATCAGATCTGTATATCCATCTATGATCATGTGTCCATAATAACTGCAGAGTCTTGAATCTTCACATGTTTGAATATGGAACTTATCTGACAGTAGAGTAAAAATGCACAGCGCAGAAGAGGAATATTTGGGGAATCGATTGTTCAAGGTGTGACAACTAGGACTTGGATTTCAAAGGTTCTTAAAAGTGCCGGATGTCAAAATCCTATCGCAGTTTGTTGGGAAATAGGTACAAATGCTCTCAGCTTCCTCTGAAAAATAACAAAATGCAACAATAGTTCTAGTGTTCTCTTGAAAGGATACGTCAGGTCCCAAACACCTCTGCCCTGAATACAAGCACAGATTTTCACATGATGCTGCCCTGCTCACTAGCCGGATAATCTTCTCTCTAAGGGCCTGACCCACAGTCCGCTAAAGCCAATAGTGGGTCTTTATATTCCCTTCAACAGACGGTAGATCAGCCCTTACACCTGGAGGGGTGTGACTCCAGTCCCTTCCCGGGATCCTCAACTACTTTCACCACTAGCAGAGTCTGCGCCCCTCCCCCCTATAGCCCATAGATATTAGCTGATAGAGGTAGCTTTTGGACTTCTGTCTAAACTCGTGCTGAGGGATTTGGGATCATTCAAGGCAGGTATAGATTTGTCCCTGAAGGAACAAATGAGGATATATAATGAGGATCCCACCGTAGTGTGCTAGGCGCTGTACAAACATAGCCAAAGGGCAGTCGGGTCCCCCTCTCTCAGCCCTTGTGCAAGTGATTCCGGTCTGTAATGGAAGGAGTTTGTCTCTCCTTTATAATGAGGGGGATATGCAAATTGGGGTGACATTTCCCTGTTTAAATCTCCTTCTCTCGACCCAGGCTGCACCTGAAGAGACCATCCGCAGTCCCCTGACCAGCCAATCCCCCGAGAAGTTTCCCCTCCAATACCAGGGAAAATGAGACTTTGGCTCCACTTACTTTTCATTGTAGCGGCTTTGTCAGGTATTTTCTCCACCTGAACACATTGGGGTGCAGGAACATGTTATACTGAGATGCTGGCAGATGTTATATTATTGTCACTAATGTAGTTACATTGTAAACACGATTTTGTTTATTTGTTTGTTATTTTATTTATTTAATTCCTGATAATTGATGGAGAATGTATTTAACCTGACTGGTTCCTTCACTGTTCCCTCTTTTCCCTCCTCCCTCATCCCCCCCTCTCCAGGGGCCCGTTCACAGGTTGTTCTGACCCAGTCCGGTCCCGAAGTGAAGAAGCCCGGAGAATCCACCCAGCTGAAATGCGCCGTGAGCGGGTTTGTCCCTAACGACCGGTGGATGGATTGGGTCAGACAGCTGCCGGGAAAGGGACTGGAGTGGCTGGTCCACTATCGCCAATCTTCAGTCACGAATTACTACTCCCCCTCCATCCAGGGGCGATTCACAGCCTCCAAGGACAGCTCCAACTTCTACCTGCAAATGACCAGCCTGAAAGCGGAGGACACCGCCGTGTATTACTGTGCCAGAGACACAGTGAGGGGAAGTGAATCTGAGCTCAGACAAAAACCTTCCCCTGCACTAACAGCGCAACGTGTCCACTGCTGAGGGCGCAACCAGCCCCGACTGCCAGGGACAGGGGATGGGAGCAGCCCAGAGAAAGTCTCCCAGGCTATAAATAGCTGCAGACTGGTGCAGTTTCATAATCGGTTTAATTCACACACACACTCTCCCCACACTCCTCTGAGCATCAGACACTGAGATGGAAAGATTTATTCTCTCTCCCTTTTTCTTCTATTCCAGACACACAAACAAAACAGACGTGCGTACAGAAAAATACACAAACACATATAAAAGCAATCACTACCACCCAAAAACACATAAGTAAACATACAGAGGAAGCATGAAAACACACAGGCAAACACATAAATATTCACAATCACTCAAAAACCCCAACCAAACACACACCTAGACACACAAAAGCAAGCCCAAAGACACAAATAAACACATCCTGACAATATATACACACATAAACACACACATACAGAGATACATCCATAAACACACAGAAAACTCTCACATGAACACATATAAACCCAAACACACAAACAGACATATAAATACAATTACTGTGTGTATCAAATAGAAAGAGAATGGACCAAATTCTCCTCGCAGTCACGTTGCTTTAAATACGGAGTCTCTTCCCCGTATTGGTCAAGCACTGGACTCCTGGGGCCTGGGTTCTAGCACCACCTCTGCCAGGGAATCACTGCGCCGCCTTGGCTATATCCCTGTGCCCCACTCTGGGATAATGGTTTGTGTTCTGTTAAGGGTTACATTGAGGGTAAGGCTTTGCCTTTATTGTTAGGTCAGGGTCAGCTTTTAGCATTAGGTTCAGGATATAAATGTAGGGTTAGGGCTAATATTTGAAGTCAGGGTTAGAAATTACATTTCGGGTCACCATTCAGTTGAGGGGCAGAGTTAATATTATCGTTTTAAGATACACATTGAGTTTTAAAGTGAAGTTAAGTGCTCAGGTCAGGGTTAGAATTCACTCTTAGGGTTAGGACTAGGATTGGGAGCTAAAGAAGGGGATAAAGAAGGTGTGAATTTCACCTGCGTAAATTCAGGTAGGAATCTCAAATGCAGTCATGCACTGCTAGCAGCCCGGTTGTGAGAAGGTCCCAGCGCTTCTCTCTCAAACTCACACGAAGAACCTGAATTCGCACTAGGAAATACCGGGTGTCCCTTATAAGGAGGGGGATATGAAAAAAGTGGTCAGAGATTCCTGTTTAAATCTGTGCCTCTCTCTGCCCAGGCTGTACCTGGAGAGACAATCCGCAGCCCCCTGTGTCTGTGCAGTTACCAGCCAGTCCCCTGAGAACTTTTCCCTCCAACTCCAGGGAACATGAGAGTTTGCATCCACTTAGTTTTCATTGTAGCAGCCCTGGAAGGTATATTTTCCCTCTCCGTGTGCTGGGGAAGCAGGGGGGTTATTGTGCTATTGCCCGAGATACGAATGTTCCCCTTAATGTGTCTTTATTCCCAGGTGTCCGGTCCCAGGTGCTGGTGGAGTCCGGTGGGGATGTGAAAAAGCCCGGAGACTCTCTCCGCCTCTCCTGCAAAGCCTCCGGGTTCCCCTTCAGCAGTTATCTCATGGATTGGCTCTGTCTGGCCCCCGGGAAGGGGCTGGAGTGGCTGGCCAGAGCTGCTGGCCAGGGCAGCACCTACTACGCTGATTCCGTGCAAGGGCGATTCGCCATCTCCAGAGACAATGCCAACAGCCTGGTGCATTTGCAAATCAGCAGCCTGAGAGCGGAGGACACCTCCCTGTATTACTGGGTCAGAGACACACAACCAGGGACCTAGGACAAAAACCGAGCGCTGTAGCCACGCTCTGGAGTTTGCTGGTTGGGGCGCTCAAGGTTTGCAAAGTTGTTGCAATCTGGGGAGAGACAATATTTAAGAACCAGACCCGCCACATTGGGGGCACTGGTTGTGTCAATAAACTAGGGAGTTTGAGTCACATAAGGGTCTAAGGCTCCTTATTATAACGCCCGCCTAGCGGTACCTGGATCCCAATGGAAATTACAGCCTCGAGTTAAGCCCCCTGACTCTCAGCCCTACTCTGCCTGAGCCAGAGACTGGAGTTCAAGGTAGATCTTGTACCTCCCAGGAGAGGGCCCAGGGACCGGCTAGAAGGTTTTCCGGGGGACTCATCTCCACAGAGCTGCGGTCGAGGTGGTTCTACTTGCTACAGAATCCTTTAAATGTCTTTGGACGAGAGAGCAAGACAGAGTGTGAATGAGAATGTCTGGATAGCCCAGGGTTATGGGCACTCTTCTGGGATCAAGGGAGGCTCGTGTTAAAGGAGAGCTCTGGCAGCGCTGTATGTACTGCACCTCTCCGAGGGGAATAGCAGTGCTGCGAGCGAGCGTGCAGCGCTGCAGGCACTGATTACACTGGCGCTGTACAGCGCTGCACTCGCTGCGCTCGGGGGGGGCGTTTTCACACCCCTGAGCACAGCAACTTGCAGCACTTCCAGCGCCAGTGTAGCCAAGGCCTAAGTCCCCGTGTTCTAATGAGGATTTAAATGCTGTATTAACAGGTTCCAGGCAGTGTCGTGTGTTGGCTACAACAATGTGCTGGCTGGGCCTCAGGAGACCTGGCTTTTCTCCCAACAGCCAACAGACCTTGGGCAAATCAGTTTCCTTCTCTGTGTCTCAGTTTATCCACCTCTACAAAGGGGACACGACAGCTCATCGTCCTTTCCCAAAGCTCCGTTACAGAGCTGAGTGTTTTCATCATCCAAGGTTGTAAGAACTCCTGGGCTAAATTTTACACCATGGATAAATTCAGTGCTTTAGATCAGTCTGAAGATGCCTCTCTTCTCTCAGGTTCTCACACAATTGTGAATAATAATCTCCCTTCAGTGCTGCCTGAATCCTCCCTCGTCTCTCCCCTAAAGAAAAACTCCCAGACACGCTGCTCTCGGCCCACTAATCCCACGGAGGCTCCACTGCGAAACCTTAATTCTGCCCTCAGACTCCCCCCTCCCCCGCACCTGCACCCACAGGCGGGCCCCAGACCTGGTCCAAAGCACCAGCCAGGCTTGCTCAGATCACGTCCCTAGTGTCATGGATCATTTCAATGTAGCCAGTCACTGCTGGGAAGGGAAAGGGGCTTCCGTCCCAAATCCCTCCCAGCGCCATGGGAAATCTTCCCTCTCCAGCGGGTGGCCCAGCCCAATGGATCCCTGGGACACGACCCCTCCCCAGACACTGACCCCCCTGACCGGACGTTTCATGGCCCTTGTGCTTGTGGAACGGGGCTCCAGATCTGAGTCCCCCCAATCCCCAATATCACCTCACAATAGCCAGGCCCTCAGTTCCTGGGTGAGGAAATACAGTCACCTCAGGGAGCTGGTCATTCCTCCCAGGGATCCAAAAGTGTCAGGAGGACCCAGCGCCCTGTGCCCGGCACTGCACAGACACACAGGACGGGACAGTCTAACTCCCGCACCCGGAGCCCTGGGGTGAGTCAGTCAGATCACGGGCAGCAGGAGTGTGTCTCTTATAACGCGGGGACATGCAAATGAGGGAGGCAGTTTCCTGTTTAAATCTGTGCCTCTCTCTGCCCAGGCTGCACCCGGAGACACAATCTGCAGTCCCTGGGTCTGTGCAGTGACCAGCCAGTCCCCTGAGAACTTTCCCCTCCAGCACCAGGGAAAATGGGATTTTTCCTACTTGTAATTTTCACTGTAGCAGCTTTGGAAGGTATTTTCCTCCTCTGAATAACTGGCAGAATTAGAAGAATATTTTGTTACCGCTGTTTTTATACTGATATTAATGGCCTGTCTCTGTTCTCAGGTGTCCGGTCCCAGGTGCAGCTGGTGGAGTCCGGAGGGGGTGTGAAAAAGCCCGGAGACTCTCTCCGCCTCTCCTGGAAAGCATCCGGCTTCACCTTCAGCGATTACTGGATGAGCTGGGTCAGACAGGCCCCTGGGAAGGGACTGGAATGAGTCGCTAATATAAACTACGGTGGGAGTACTATATACTACCTTGGTTCAGTGAAAGGCCGGTTCACCATCTCCAGGGATGATTCCAAGAATGAGCTGTATCTGCAAATGACCGGCCTGAAGCCCGAGGACACCGCCCGGTATCACTGTGCGAGAGACACAGTGACACACAAACCGATTGATGCTCCTGCAAAAACCCAGGCTGCAGAATCCACGCGCCACGTGGGGGCAGCAGCGACATAAACAACAGGGCTTTGGGCACAGGAATGAGAACCAGCATCCAGGGGAATGAAATACAAACCGGCCACAAGGCTTTACCCTTTCATGCCCTAGCAACGTTCCCCTTTTGCTTCACAGAGGCCCAATGGATCTGCGCCGCAGACATTCCTCGCTGCTTCAGTCAGGTGTGAGTCCTGGTCCCACGGTCAGTCTCTCCTTGTAGATCTGGATCTTTCACTGACGTAAAATGTGGTTAATGTGACCGGTTCCCACATTGTTCCTTCGCTTGCCTGACCCCACAGGGACCCGGTGTGACGTTATTGACATAATCTGGCCCCATATCGAGCAGAGTTGCTTCCAAGCTGCTGTAGCGCCATACAAATCTTGTATATAAGTT